TGCAAAAAAGATCCACATAATAATGATAAGAAATTAATTTGAAATCTCAGAGTCAGAACATTTTCAGATATTACCTTTAACGGGTGTCAAAAAGTCTGGGCAAAAATCCAGATAATACTGAAAACCAAACAAAAAAACTAAGACCTATAGATCTCTAAGATCCGTAATGTATACCTGTACAACTGTTTCCAGTTTAAAAAGGGGCTGGGCGTAGTCCAGTCGTTACCTTGCTGGACAGGCGAGTCTGACGTCGCTAAATCTCATTATTCGAATATATTACCCCAATAGTTGGAAATGGATACTGTTGACCAGCTGCTTAACCCCGAGGGAGTTCAAAACTAAGGACGGCTAGCGAGATCCACAGTCCAGAACGCCATCCACTAGGTCACACTCGGCTGCGAGCCTCAGATTTTAGCAATATAGGTTCACAACTTACCATTGATCAACCGCTGGCGATTTGATGTTGAAAAATTGTTAGTTTAACCTGATCTCTGTGTTAACAATATCTCCCATGTGAATTACATTATTAAAAAATGTTAGTTTAACTTGATATCTGTGTTAACAATATCTCCCACCTGAATTACATTATTCAAAAAATGTTAGTTTAACTTGATATCTGTGTTAACAATATCTCCCACCCGAATTACATTATTCAAAAAATGTTAGTTTAACTTGATATCTGTGTTAACAATATCTCCCACCCGAATTACATTATTCAAAAAATGTTAGTTTAACTTGATCTCTGTGTTAACAATATCTCCCACCCGAATTACATTATTCAAAAAATGTTTGTTTAACCTGATCTCTGTGTTAACAATATCTCCCACGTGAATTACATTATTAAAAAATGTTAGTTTAACCTGATCTCTGTGTTAACAATATCTCCCACCTGAATTACATTATTAAAAAATGTTAGTTTAACCTGATCTCTGTGTTAACAATATCTCCCACGTGAATTACATTATCCAAAAAATGTTAGTTTAACTTGTTCTCTGTGTTCACAATATCTCCCACCTGAATTACATTATTCAAAAAATGTTAGTTTAACTTGTTCTCTGTGTTCACAATATCTCCCACCTGAATTACATTATTCAAAACCATACTTAAATTTTGTTTTCTTGACCAAGAACCAAATATGTTTTTCTTAGAAACATCAACTTAATCCACGGGGAAGATTGATTTTATAGCATTTTTCACCGGAAGACTGTACTAAAGCAAAGGTCAAATTTTAAAAACTCTTGAATATTACAGTTTTAAACAAATTTCTTCAAATTAAGAAAGTTAAACTTACCAGACGTGGATACACATCTATAATTACAAAAAAAAAGTAGATTTATGAGAATCTTTAGTGTCGAATTATCCATAATACACATACAGCCATTCGATCCATAAAATAAAGCTCAGCTTTATTTTGTTTTTCAAATATATATATGGGAATTTACACATCTACAATACAAACATTTGAGTTGTTCAGGCAAAATTTTAAATATTTTTTTCTCATAGAAACACACAAGCTCTCCAACACCAGTAGCTAGGATAGAAATCAAGTCTACTTCACCGATTAAAATAAACTATGACCCTTCTGTAGCATAATCCCGCTTTTCAGCACTGTTTTTGGAATATCTTGAATTATTTAATTCAAGAAGAATACTAAAACGGTATTCAACATTATAACTAGATTTAGCATATCCTTTTTTGCTTCCTCATTGGCGACCTAAAATGACCCCTTGTCCACTGAACAGGAATACTCTTAATTTATTTAAAAACAAACTGTTGCCTTGCTTGAAGCTTTCGTTTTAATATTTACCATTATTTCCTTTTATAAAGCTATTGAGAACGTGTATAACTAAGAAAGTAAGTACACATATTATCACGTTTTATGTAAATATGTAATAGCCTTTTCTGACGCAAAACATTTATACACTTATATCATAAGAATGTGTTCATTTCAGGGATTTAGATTTCCCAAGACGAGTATATCTTAATGGCATTGGAAAATAAAAGAAATATGGATCAACTTGGGGTACTAGGATCATCCATAAAGGGATGTGCAACAAGTAGTACCACAGGCGTGTAGACAAAGATTTGTAATAGGTGATAATCCACGAACACAAAGATAAATGGCAAAAGTGGTCAATGTGTCACAGGAAACAGTAAGCAACATAATCAAGATGGCTTTTCGTATAGACAAGCGACACTAGTCACAAGTTACTTCCATGACATATCGGAAAAAAAAAGACCAAATGTGTATGAACTGTACCTAGATTGGGAACAACAGCACTCTGTAGTGATACTCGACGAAGCCTATGTGTACCTTGATAACAGTAACACGTCTCATGTCATTTTCTATAGGAGAGTAGAAAAACAATTTACAAAATTGTTACATACCATGTTATGCAATATGTTCGAAGGAATTCATGATACTGCGCTAGCAGCAATTTAGAGATCTCAAGAGCAGATACAAAGGCCAAGGTGAATTCTGCTTACTATCAGGCGAATGTTTTGGACTCTTTGTACCAAACAGAAATGCTGAATATGTATAGAAACTAGGCCAATTGGCTATGGATTCAACAAAATAAGGATTCTAGTCATACCTTCCATTCAATCACCCAATACCTTAAGTAGCTGGAGAATGAAAAGAGTATTCATACTTTTCCATACATTGGTTAAGTTGCCGGACGCAGTGCCTATGAATTTCTGTGCAATCGCACTGTTGAAACAGGCACAGGAAAAACATCGTCCTTGTATGCAAGTTGGTTTATGGAAAGCCTGCAGGGAAAAGTGGTGCGCTTCGGACACGACAACCTTACGGCGAAGCCTCTTGCAATGGAAACTACGCTGAAGGGCTATTGTGGAGATGCATAGAACATGACAGGATGTGGCTACATGGACTGTTATGACTCGGTGAGGCTCCAAAATCGTTTTAATACAACGTACACAATCTTTACATACTGTGATATAAACTTTCAAGAATATGAACAGAAATATGCATTTCTAAGACGCCGACAATTAAAGTTAAGCCTCATATTAAAGAACTAATTAGATTAGTACCTATGAGAGTGTTAAATTTTCAAACAAGTTTATTTCGCGTTATTCCAATAATATTGGGTCTGTGATCTAATAACATACCGCTGTCATTATCTTTCATTTCCAAATTATGCAAAAAATCATCACTTGATTTATAGCTGAAACGTATTCTTTCCATTCAATCTGGTTTATTATAGGAAGTTTAATTTCCCCCCTTTTTTTTTATCAGCACAGAGACGGTAGGCTTAAATATGATATAGCACTAAAATATATTTTACGAGACAACAAAGTGATCAATGGGTATTAGTCATAATCACTCAAAACACAGTTTGCGCAATTTTTCACAACATAAAACAAGCAATAACATATGCTTAAAAAAGTATACTATGAGAAACGAGGACTATTTTTGCTTGGCGTTTAATCAATATTTTTATATTTTCTCTCTCGCTTGTAAGCTGCAACGCCACCAGTAAACAACACTGAAAACTATTTAGTTTCTTTGCACATGTTTTGAAACACTAAGTTTTGTACGTAAACAAAAATCGATACGGAACAAATTATGTATAAGTCCTTATAAAACACAGTTGCCTAAGCATCGAATAACTGCCATGTTATAAGATTGGTGGGGATTGTTGTGTCAAGTTTGATATCTGAATGGCTTACGGTTCTTGTCAAACTTATTCAAAAATCAAACAAAAAATAAGCCTTGAAGCATTACGTCTCTCGCTAGTAAGTAAGTACATAAAATCCGGAGGAAAATTATGAGAAGCGCACCCGTCACGTTTCAGACAAACAATCAAATATTTATTTTTAAAAAATATAGACTAAAAAATTCCTAAGAAAATTTACGAAACAATTGTGGTAACACATTACAACTCAAAAATGTTGAAGTGCTTCAGGCCATTAAGAGATATTATGTAAAGAGTATTTACGTAAAATAATGAATACAGTGCGACTATGAGTATTAAGTCGTCAAAACTTATATGGAGAAACATGAGTTAAGTTTAAGACCAAGCTTCCTTACCTTAAGCGGATGGAACAATATATAACACAAAATAATGACTGAAAAGTAAGGTATTATAAGTAGACGGAATATATTACCAACCGGATATACACCAGAGAAAAATTACCTAATAAGGAAAAATAATAAAAGAAGCGTATGTGTGGACTGTATTTCTCGCTCAAGTCATTGCATAAACATTGTTAACATTTGTGTGTGTGCTTAAAAGTTTAGTCAACGCTGGTGATGAAACAGATTTAACAAGCAAAAAACACTACAATGTTTCACAAAACACATAAATATACTAACAATGGTAAGTTATCGATTTACCATTACCTAAAACACTCGAATTTTAAAACTGAAAACAACGCCATACTGAACATGTATTGAAGCCGTACTTAATGGTTTAACAAAGCCAGTTTAATGTATGGAATAAAATTTCAGCGCCCCCTACAATACAATATTCAGAACTCAGTAACATAAAAAGCAATAAAGCGTAAGTTACAAGACAAAGAAGTAATACAATAGAATAAGCATACAAATAAGCGGGATACATTAATTAATTATATTTGTCATAGGACATTATGTTAGGCCTATTATAGTTTTATAATATATATATTATATATGACAGGCCTAACATAATGGCTTATGACAAGTATAGTTAATTATAACCATGTTTCGCTAGCTTGTAAAAGGCGTCCACACTACAGTATAACAATTGTTGAGATACATTAATAATTAACCAAACTATATAATTATATTTATTTTGTCATTTTTGGTCTTTATATGTGTTCTACTTTTGGGGGAGCCTAAGTGATACAAAAAAGTGTGTTATTAATACAAAATACTTCTAAAGTAACTTTTAACGATAATTAAAACGCTTGCCAATCTCCAAGTCCCATTTCTTCTTTGCTATATTAACAACTTCAATAGTTTTATTTACTTTAATAAACAGGAAAACAAACGTGCTTACCTCGTTTTCATGGTCGAACTCTGGAATAATCTCTTCTTTGGAGATTGCTACAGCCAAGAAAGAAAACAAATGTTATTATATCAATTTAGCTTTCACAGTTGGGAAACCAGAACCTAAGATCTCAAACGATCACTAAAATAACACCAAATCTTTGTTTTTCTAACAATTATAGTTTTTACTGTTTCGATATTTTAAAAAGTTCCAATTAACAGTTGCGTGACAAATTACTTTAAATTCGCGTATTAAAAAGCCACAATATCTTTAATCTTACCGCAAGAAATAATATATTGGGCATTTTATCTTAACGACTAATCAAACCGCTTTACATTAGAAGTTTTTTCTTTAACCATAACACTTGGAGAACATAATATTATACGTGAGTTTTCTCTCAACTGACAAGTCTGTAATATTAATACAAATATCATAAATGCGATTTCTTAGCCTAATAATGCTGTTTGTTATGATATTAACTGGAACAATTGATTTACAGGTGATCTTTATAATAGCTTAAAATATGATGACTTATCAAACTGATTTTATACAAACTTTCTCTTACATTAATTAATGTCTCAAAACTGGACAACTAATTCATTTTTTCCCTTGTATAATTCAAGATTATACCAAGAGATACGTTTAAGTTTGGATTCTGCTAGTTGCCCTTCACCACAACCCCTTTGATATCTTAACCATTTTTGTTCGTTTGTTTATTGTTAAGCACAAAGCTACACAATTGGCAATCTATGCTCTGCCCATCATAAATAGCGAAACACGATTTTTAGCGTTATAAGCCCTCATACTTACTGTTAAACCACTGGGGGCTAATTTTAATGACTAATATAACATAAATATAAAACGTTTCTATACAGAAGTGCAAATTTTGTCTGGGTAGATTTTACAATAATGAAACCATTTTTTTTTTTTTTTTAGTTTGGTTGGTTGGTTTTACGTAAACCTGCACAATAAATAAGCTATCTGTTTTGTGTAAAACGGGTAGTAAAACAGATATGTAGCATGCATGTACATTCCCCTATAAAATAATTTCAGTAGTTATCTCTCACTAGACAATTGTTGTATATGCATAAAATAGCTTCTTGTTCTGTATTCAACTTTGATTATCCACTGTTAGATACGCGTAGGTGTCAAATTTGTCGTGTTAAAGTGACTGTAGCTACAAGTTTTGTCACCCTCACGGAAGAAAACAAAACTTTCACATACATATCAGTTTGTTTGTTTTGAATTTCGCGCCAAGCTAGACGAGGGCTATCTGCGCTAGCCGTCCCTAATTTAGCAGTGTAAGACTAGAGGGAAGGCAGCTAGTCATCACCACCCACCGCCAACTCTCACCAACGAATAGTGAGATTGACCGTAACATTATAACGCCACCATGGCTGAAAGGGAGAGCATGTTTGGTGGGACGGGGATTCGAACCCGCGACCCTCAGATTGAGAGTCGAGCGCCCTAACTACCTGGCCATGCTGGGCCTATACATATCGGAATCACTGATGTGAAACATACCTTGTTATAAAGTTTCTTGTTACAAACAACGTAATGATATTTTAAGATATATATATACTTATATATATTACTGTAACAATTGCAGGCCTCGTTATGCTCAGCCCATGTTTAAAATACGCTTCATAAAGTTCGGTAAATAGCAGTTTTTATTCTAAACTGTATTTGACTTCGTTATGTTTTTCAAGCTAAAGTGATAAAGAGCCAACTAATGTTTAAACCAATGATTATGTTTTAATGTTTAGTCAACCTTCAGAAACACACACACGCAGTAAACAAGTATTACTTTACAAACTCGTACCTTTCGAATGTTGAGATTACTGAAAAACAAAACATGATTTCTCAAGTCGTTCACTTTACAAAGTCCTCAGTGTTTATATAGAGAATAATTCGTATAATTCTAGAACATTGAATCTTAATAGCTAGTATTAATAGGATGTTGGGTTTTTTATTGAGGTTGTTATATCTTTAATTCAATATCACTTTTCGACTGTATGATACTGTGTGTTGATTTCTAACATGTCGAGTGATAAGCTCTTGGATGCTTAATGATTATTTCTGGAACGTCATGAATTTAATTCTAGAATATTGAACATTTACTTCACAAATATTGGTTGTTGAGTGAAGGATATTGTGTGTTTTGTTTTGGGGTGTTTGTTGAATGTGCAATATATAGTTGTTTAGTGTTTAGCTCTGGGGTGGAAAGTTGAGAATTTAATAAGTGGTTTCGTTTGTTTTGAACAAAGCTACTCGAAGGCTATCTGCGCTAGCCGTCCCAAATTTAACAGTGATAGACTTAAGGGAAGGCAGTTAATCAACACTAGCGACCGCCAATTCTTCAGATACTCTTTCAGCAATGAATATAGAGATTGACCGTCACATTATGACGCTCTCTCGGCTGAAAGGGCGAGCATGTTCGGTGACGGGAATTCGAACTAGTGGCCCGCAGATTACGAGTCGAGAGCCCTAACTTTAATAAGAGGACGTTATACGTTTAAACGTACGATACTGTGTTCAATTTTTAAAATTAATCATGATGGGCATCTGATTTCAAGAGATAAACAGCATATGGGCTCCATGTAATAACATGCCCCAGAACGAAAAATAAAGATGGCGGCAAATGATGTTCTACCGCGAAATAATGATGAAAAACGTTTCTCAATTTACTAAAATATTCTACTTTTGTTTTTGTTGGATTTCGCGCAAAGCTATACGAGGCCTAACTGCGCTAGCCCTCCTTAATATTGAAGTGATAGACTAGAGGAACGGAAGCTAGTCAACATCATTCACCACCAACTCTTGGGTTAATCTTGTGGGGTCGAATAGTGGGATTTGATTGTCACTCTTATAACGCACACACGGCCACAATGTAACGGAACGCGAATCCACAGAACCTCAGCTCCACAGTCCAGCAAACAAAACCACTGATATCATGCTTAATCCTGATATAATGAATGTACAACTGATCATACACTATCTCTTCCACATGGCGAATACTCTGTAGACCATTTCAAAAAAGACCGATAAATATATTCTGGATTCATCAGAATTGATAATCATATTCTGGGTTTATCACCTCTTTATAAATAATATTTTGATCAGCTGACAACCACTCTGCGACCTTGAACTAACTAACGAAAATGTTAAATTATAAGATGAAACTGGAGAGAATTTCTACAATCAATGACATGCAAGCACAAAAGAGACCATCTTTCGCTAGTTTTTATATTACAACGATTGAAATAAATCAAAGACCAGAGGAAAAAAATCTATCCTAATATTATTTATTTTCTTAGTTTCTTTTATCTATTATTTAACAAGCTTCTAAAAAAAATATTCAAAGTAGAACAAATAAAATGTGGCCATGAACGAAAACTGCTTTGTTTCTAATGTTTGATATACACACTTTCTGAAACATCGAAATACATTTGTGGTTTCTCACCTTCTTATAATCTTCTGTCTCTGGCAAATAATAAATGTTATATTTTCCACAATTATACAAAGTTCGAACGTTATTACTCTTATATAAATATATAAATATAAATATAAATTATATAAATTATATAAATATAACGTAAATATTTACGTGAGCGTGGAATGGACATGTCATCAACCAGCATGAAATGCAAGCGTGAAGGTTGTCACACTTTTCATTTTTTGAAATTAATTTATAATCCATACATCTTTAGCCCCGATTGCTTCACAATGTTTTAAAGGAGGACTTATAAGAAAAACGACCAAACGTCAACATCAAAGTTATTATCCAGGTGGTATATCGTATTAATACAGAAGAAAATGGAATTTTTGATACCAGTTCCAGGTCAATGGGGCCAACATAAACAAAACGTTTACATTTTGTCTAGAGAGGTAGCGGTTACGTACAAAAAAAAAAGATTTTTACATATACAAATAAGATGCTTATAAAAAGTCATTCGAGGAGAATTTCACGTAGACTATGGTGCTATTTGAAATATTGACTTTTTATCATCATTATTTCTTTTGAAGGAAGGAATCTATAATTTAAAAATGTTTAAAACATAAGGAATTTCTTCACCATTTATGATAATTCCAAATCCACATTTTTGAGTAGTTGAAGTTGTTTTTATCAGAAAGACATCTTTATACAGAACGTCATGACATATCAAAATTCAAAAGGAGTTGAAATACGAGGGGCAAGATCGAGAAACCTGTGTGAGCATGATGTAAGGAAAAACGACATAATGCTGTGAAAGTGACGTAAGAGGGGCAAGATCAAGAAACCTGTGTGAGCATGATGTAAGGAAAAACGACATAATGCTGTGAAAGTGACGTAAGAGGGGCAAGATCAAGAAACCTGTGTGAGCATGATGTAAAGAAAAACGACATAATGCTGTGAAAGTGACGTAAGAGATGAATGTGAACTACATAATTGTTTTCATGTATCTGGCAGCTTTGCTGTATTCTATTTTTTGCATGCTCTATAATGGTCATCGGCGATACCTTTGGAGTCACTACCAGTGCACAAATGGTAGAATTGTTGATATCTGAGAACGTGTCGCTATCGTTATTTGCATCTTTGGATCTGCTATATCAAACGTTAAATCAAATTTGCCTTTGGCTAAAAAATTCAAGCCAGCTGGGGAAAACTGCTCGGCCAAGATTAAAGTGCTTAAATAGAAAGTAAAAATGAATATCAATACATTAAAAAACAAGTATCCCCTCCCCCAAAGGAGATCAACCCACACGCAACAATAAAACGGTCATACATAGAATTCCGAAAACATTTCATAAATAACCCAAATTCATCTCTTATACTCACAGTGTTATATCTTTTGCTTCTTTATTCTCACATAGGTTTATTGACCTTTGACCTCTCATGTTTTAACATCTCCCAAAGCTGTATTGTTTAGATATTTTGATAGGTATGAAGATGTTTTTCTGTTAAAAACTCAAATTGAAGATTTAACGTTATGGTAAATGGTGAGTAAATACCGGTGTTTTTTTCACTAACAGATTCCATTTGACGTTATGGTAAATGGTGAGTAAATACCGGTGGTTT